AATTTGAACAATTTAATTCTTATCATCTAAGTCCAGTTTCAAATTAATCCTTTTGCTGAAATTGGGACATTAAATTTATAATTTTTTGACAAGTTGCTAATTAATCTCTTGAAGAGTACACATTGAAAAAAATAATAATAATTTGAATGAAATAACCAAATTAAAATTGACTTAAAGTATAATAATTAAATTATTCAAATAAAATAAATAAGAATAAAAAGTGTAGTTTATTCTAAATAATCCATCGAATGTTACTATTTGTCCCCACAAATTTCTTTGGACCTAGGGGTGTAACTTAGCCCATGGCCGTGATGGTCTGATGTGGGCCCGGCCCGTAAGGACCGAGCCTAACCCAGCCCGAGGCCTTGGGCTTGAGCTATGCCATCGTTTTGAAGACGCGGCCTGGCCCAGCCCATGGGCTCGACCCACTTGGCCTGACCCATCGGCCGCCGCTCAAGGCCCATCCAAAAGCTCGGCCAGAGGCCCGGCCCGCTCGGCCCACCTAAGGCCCAGTGTTATTTTTAATAGAAAAATAATAAAATTTTAGTGGAAAAAATAAAAAAATTAAAAAATTGTTTAGACCCGCCCAAAGCCTGAATACCCTGGGCTTGGGCCTAGGCTTAGTTTTCTGGCCCGTGGGCCGACTCGGCTCGATTTTTGACAGGAGCCTGCAAGGCCCGACATAGGCTCGGCCCCGGCGAGGCCCTGATAGGTCAAGTTGGATCGAGGCAGGGCAAAATTACACCCCTATTTGGACCCTTCCCTTACTCCCAACCTTTTTTTAACTACTACTTCCATGGTGACCACCATCACACACACAAACACAACACAACACAACCCTTCCTAGCCCTACTTCCTTGACCAATGATCCTTATTCCCTACAACTTGCTGCCTCTTGCTCTTGAGATGACTACCCTCTGCAAATTCCCACTCTCACTGTCTCTTACCCTCGCAACAACCATTACACATGAAGAGAAGAGAGAGAGAGAGAGAGAGAGAGACAGGGAAAGGGCAAGGTAGCGGTGGATGTGAAGGTTGGAAAATGGATGTGAAGGGCGGATGAGGATGGAGAGGATCTCCAAAGTTTGGGGGAGGAGCAGAGAGGATACTGATTGGAACTGGTAGATGTAGAAGTAGGGGTAGGGTAAGATTTGGGAGGTTCATGAGGACGAAAGTTGAAATTTTATATATTGAATAAAACTGTAATAGAAAAAAAGTGAAAAGAGTAGGCATCCAAAAAAAAAAAAAACGGAGCCATCAATTTACTTTTGAAATTTTCATATTTTTATTAATGTATTGGATTTTTGAGTGATAGTTTGGGTTTTGGGGAATTGATTTTTCAATATTTTATTAATTTATATTTTTGGAGTGATAGTTTTGGTCCTTGGGGCGGGGGGATTTGCTCTTGCATCAATTTACTTATAAAGTTTTCAATATTTATTTAATTTATTGATTTTGAGTGATAGTTTTGGTCTTTGGGGGGGGGGGGGGGGGATTTGCTCTTGGCATCAATTTACTTATAAAGTTTTCATATTTTATTAATTTATTGATTTTGAGTGATAGTTTGGGTTTTGGGGATTGATTTTCATATTTTATTAATTTATTGATTTTGAGTGATATTTGGGTTTTTTGTTTTTTTTGGGGGGAGGGGAATTCCTCTTGCATCAATTTACTTTTGAAGTTTTCATATTTTATTAATTTATTGATTTTGAGTGATAGTTTGGGTTTTGGGGTGCCTCCGAGTGATAGTTTGCGTTTTTTTTTTGGGGGGTGGGGGTTGAGGGGCGCAATCAATTTACTTTTGAAGTTTTCATATTATATTAATTTATTGATTTTGAGTGATAGTTTGGCTTTTGGGGAATTGATTTTCATATTTTATTAATTTATTGATCTTGAGTGATAGTTTGGGTTTTGGGGTGGGTTGAGTGATAGTTTGGGTTTTTTTTTGTGCATCTATTTACTTTTTGAAGTTTTGATATTTTATTATTTAGTCCGATTGGTTCCGTCAGTTTTCATTTTAATTTAGTCCGAATGGTTCCGTCTTTTTTAAAAATTAAATTGAAATATCAAGAGTAATATAGTACATTCATTATTCTTGAAATAATAAGATTAAATTAAGGGAATTCCTCTTGCATCAATTTACTTCTGTAAGTTTTCATATTTTATTAATTTAGTCCCATTGGTACCGTCTTTTTAAAAATTAAATTGAAATATCAAGAGATAAAATAGTACATTCATTATTCTTGAAATAATAGATAAATTACACTTTTAACCCTATAGCTTGATTGAAATTTTACTTTGGTTCCTATTATTTTAATTTGAACAATTTAATTCTTATCATCTAAGTCCAGTTCAAATTAATCCTTTTGCTGAAATTGGACATTAAATTTAATAATTTTTTGACAAGTACTAATTATTCTCTTGAAGAGTACACATTGAAATAAATAATAATAATAATTTGAATGAAATAACCAAATTAAAACTGAACTTAAAGTATAATAACTAAATTATTCAAATTAAAATAATAAGAATAAAAAGTGGTAGTTTATTCTAAATAATCCATCGAATGTTAGTATTTGTCCCAACAAACATTTTTGGACCTAGGGGTGTAATTTTGGCCCGTGGCCCGCGGGCGACCTGATGTGGGCTCGACCCGTTAAGGCTCGAGCCTAAGCCCAGCCCGAGGCCTTGGGCTTGAGCCTGTGCCATCTGTTTTGAAGCCCGGCCCGGCCCAGCCCATGGGCTCGACCCGCTTGGCCTGACCCATCCGGCCCGCTCAAGGCCCATCCAAAAGCCCGGCCCGCTCGGCCCATCTAAGGCCCAGTGTTATTTTTAATAGAAAAATAATAAAATTTTAGTGGAAAAAATAAAAAATCAAAATTAAAAAATTGTTTAGGCTCGCACAAGCCCGCCCAAAGCCCGAATACCCCATGGGCTTGGGCCTGGGCCTAGTTTTCTGGCCCGTGGGCCGACCAGGCCCGATTTTTTGACGGGAGCCTGCAAGGCCTGACATGGGCTTGGCCCGGCCCGAGCCCGAATAGGACAGGTTGGGCCGGGGCGGGGCAAAATTACACCCTTATTTGGACCCTTCCCTTACTCCCAACCCTTTTTTAACTACTACTTCCATGGTGACCCACTTCACACACAAACACAACACAACACAACACAACACAACCCTTCCTAGCCCTATTTCCTTGACCAATGATCCTCATTCCCTACAACTTGTTGCCTCTTGCTCTTGAGATGACTACCCTCTGCAATTCCCACTCTCACTGTCTCTTACCCTCGCAACAACCATTACACATGAAGAGAGAGAGAGAGAGAGAGAGAGAGAGAGAGAGAGAGAGATATCGGGAAAGAGCAAGGTAGCGGTGGATGTGAAAGGTTGGAAAATGGATATGAAGGGCGGATGAGGATGGAGAGGATCTCCAAAGCTGGGGGAGGAGCAGAGAGGATATCGATTGGAACTGGTAGATTTAGAAGCAGGGGTAGGGTTAAGATTTGGGAGGTTTGTGAGGACGAAGTTGAAATTTTATATTTGAATAAAACTGTAATGGAAAAAAAGTGAAAAGGGTGGGCATCCAAAGAAAAAAAACGGAGCCCATCAATAACAGTACTCTGCCTTTGTTTGGGGTGTAGGTTGGTTTTTTTACTATTTTAATTTGGAATGAAAAAACCTCATTTAGAATAGTCATTTTGGTCTTTTTTAACTTTTGTGAGAGAAAAAATGAAATGATTATGAGTTGGATTGTCCTATTTGGCGAAAATAGTCAATTTTGTCTTATATGATTCTTTTAGCCCAAAGTAGTATCCCAAACATAACCTCTAATTCATTTCTTTTTAAATTTGAAAGTAAATCTGCAAATTTAATTTTCAAAATTTGAAACTGCTATGGTAGTTAAACTACCGTAAAGAACGTGTAGGTGTAGAGGAATTGTTTTTTTTTTATTATATTATTAGTCAATTTACACGTGATAGAAGTTTCAAGAAATCAAACCTCACTTAATATAAGCCAAGATAATGTAAAAATTTAAATGACAATATTAATGTAATTACAACTAGAAAAATTAAATTAATATAAAACATGAATGACAAAAATACGAGCATAATTGCCCAAAGAGAAGTGTAGAGTTGGAAAACAACTCAAACATTAGAGACAAAAAATACAACTTAAGATGAGGACTAGGTCTTCTGAAAAAATAAAAATGAAAATAAATAATAAAAAAAGTTAATACTCTACCGACAAAAATTTTATAGAGAAATTCATAAGAAGTGATATGGGTTTTTATCATCGTTTTATTTCCTTTTTTTTTTTTTAAGATAGTATTTCTATTTAAAATATTCACAATGGTGGTTCATTATTACAGATATGTTGTTGTTCCATCATTTCGGATGTACAAACAAATGACATTATATTATATTCTTTAATTTCTAGCTAAAACGCTCATTATTGTGCCTAATTATATTTGTAAATCACTTTCTAATTATATATATATATATATATATATTTTGTATATAAAATATTTTTGAGAAAATCATACCTGTAATCTCTATATTTTACCTCTTGTATTATTTTGATCCCTACATTTTCACTCGGCTCAATTTTGACCCTTAATTTTGAATTTTGTGTAGTCCAATTGATAATATCATTAGTGTTTTTTAAAGAAAATTATCACTAAATTTGTTGAGATTAACTCATTGAGCTAAATAAGTTTATAATTTTACTGTTAAAGATATGACACATGACACTTATATATGTATTTTTCATAAAGAATAAGAGTTGTAATTAATTAGATCAAATTGAGACAAAATTATAAATTCATGATTAAAATCGAGCCAATTAAGGAACTAAAATAACACAATAATCAAAGCACGGGGACTACCATCGTAATTTGCCCAATATTTTTTCAAAAAAAAAAAAAAATGGATGAGTAGGTTGGACCTGAGGGAGCAATACCTCATCTGGGTTGGTTTTGCTTTGTAATATTAAAAATTAATATGGCAAGAAAGACTTACCAGTTTGATTTTGCATGAGAGGCTCAGATCCAAGCTCGCTTTGCTTTGAACGTATGTGATTCAGGCACCCTTCATGTTGTGCTTCTTCCTCCCCCTCCCCTCATATCTTCTTCATAGGTCGAGGTATATAAACTTTTTCACAAACTTAATTTTAGATCTTGCATAATCAGTCTTGTTTTGATCAAGATGCTAGCTCAGATACAATATTTTTTTTCTTTTAACCTTTTTAATTTTCCTTTTTATATATTTTATGTTGTTTCTGTCTCCGAAATATGTTTAACAAATGTGAACCACTATGTTTCATATGATATTTCAAAATTTTCAAATAATTACTCGAGTGTGTTGCTGTATTGCAGATGTAATTAGCCGTACGTAGTAAAACACAAAGTGAAGGATGATTGTGCATTTGGTTTGAAGGAAAGCAAAGCAAAGCATAAACTCATTCTTCTCAATCATTTGTGGATCATTTATTTCTTGGCCGCTGCATACAGTGAAAAAGGTAGTCTGTCTGGCTTCCGTATATCACTTTTAAGAAAAAGTTTCCTTTATTTGATCGCCATATATAGTTTGATTTTCATCAATATGTTCACTTTATTTTCTTTCGTGGAAATTGTTAAAATTTCACAACAGACAAAAAACAAATTAAACAAAATGTGACTTTCTTAACTGATATAAAAAAAATCTACCACAGTTTTCATTCTTTACAACACCTGCCTCTGATCCACATCGCCATATAACCTTGTTTGAGAAACAGTAATGCTACGAACCATGAAAAAAATATCACGAAAATGATCATGAAATATTCTCAATTTGACTGACTTCTGTTGTGTAGCATGTATGTCTCCCCAAATACTCATATATGCTAACAAAACTCTATCCCAAAATGAAATTTATTCAAGTATGCCAATATGGAACAACTTCGTCATAAAAAATTTGAACATAATCAATCAATCACTTAATAATAATTACACATAACATGTGTTATGTGGATTTTAGAGAGTTTAACGCCACTTTGTGATGTAAGATTATAAATTTGATTCTTATGAAATGAAGTTTGATATCTTTTGTAATATTTATTTATTTTCTATGATAAAATTTTATGTAGTTATTTATTTTCTCTCAAAATTTAGAATATGGTTGTTGGTCTCGCAAGCATGACGTCAGCATAAAAAAGCATACATAGTCGAATGAATGCAAATGCAATTATTGCACTAGTAGAAAACATGTGCTATGCACCAAATAGTTAATTTTAAATTGTAATTTTTAACTAACTTATATGTTAACTTATCAATATTAATCAATTAGGTCTAATTTAATTGGTTATCATGACTCTCCTAAGGTTTTAGTTCTAAGAGGGAGATCATAGGTTCAACTCTCTTTAAGGGGGAATTGAATTAAAAAGCAAGCACTTAGTTCTTCGTAATGATAGAGAGGCTAACTCTCATAAGTGTCAATTTAACTACTAACAACTAACTTCCGCTGATTAAAAAAATAAAAAATAAAAAATAAAAAATAAAAATACTTATCAATATCACTGTATGATAAACATATATAATTTTGCAAAAGTAAATTATAAAAAGGTGGAAAATTATATAATAGTTTCAGAGTACCATGTGACCATGCTCCCTCACCAATTATCATTCATTATGCACCTTCACGTTCCTTAATCACCTAACACAAATAATCAAAACTCCACATTCTCCACCAATTATACTACCATGGAATACCATATGGCCATACTCCCGAACTACCAAATAATCACCCCCTCAACCATATATCCATTTTTGAATCTTTTGCTTCATTAGGTACAAACTCTAATCTCTTTAGGCCAAAAAGACACAATTTGTCAAAACTGACAATATTTGTTGAAATCAAATCAACCTATCTCTTGAAATCATCCAATTTGTCTTTTTGTTGAAATTCACCGAGCTTATTTTTCTATTTGTTGAAATTCATCAAACACACACACACACACACACACACACATATCTGTTGAAATGTGACATATGTCACTCATTCAACACCCTATGCGTTGAATATTAATATTTCTTTACCTCACTACCATCACCTGTTGCCGCTAGTCGCCGGCCGCTGACCGCCAGTCACCACCACTAGTGACTTTTTCGACCAATTTTTCAACGACTTTTCCGAAGCCGGCAAAATTTTCTATGGGCCTTTTTTCCGGCGTCAATGACTTTTTTGCAACAACTTTTTCGATGTGTCCTTATCACAAAACAAGATTTTTCTGTGGATCTAATGCATTATACATTATTTAGGATGGATTTTTCACTAATTTTTTCTATTTTTTATATATAAAAAAGGACTATACTTTCATATTTCATAAATAACAAATATAATAACTAAATAAGATCCTTTTTTTAACATACAAAGCATAAAAGTATACCATTATTTTCTTAGGGTTGTTTGTGAATTGGATTGGGTCAGTTGGCCTTCTATCTATCCTTCTTCCGAACTTAGGTGGATTGAAAAAAAATACATTCATATCCAACCACTCAAACCATTAAAAGTATTTATTTATAATGAATTAGTTCAGACCATTTAGTTTTGATACATCAAATAGAAACTTGTCCAAACGTACCACTAATAATCTGAATGTCCATCCTGCTATACAGACACTGGCCTTCACCATCTTCACCATTGAAAGCACAAGTGAAAGCCTACTCATTGCAACAGTATATTTTTGGGACACTTACCAGTCAGACTTATTGATCAAACTTATGTACCTATAACTCTTATTCTGTTTTTTCACTAAATATTCTCAAAACGCCCATTCCTTACCTTCTTCCATGACTCCTTTCCTTTGCCTATTGGTGACCTTCAGCCATCGTCTCTGCTTGCCGGCGACCACCTTTGGTCATCATTTCCTGCCATCGACAACCACTTTTGGCAGCTGTCTCCAACGACCAGCGACTACCGCCAACCTTTGGCGATATTTTTTTTGACATTATTTTTCGATGATTTTTTGACTATTTTTTCAGCAAAATTGTCCATCTTCACTATGTCACTACTCCCACCACATACTCAGAGAATGAAAATCTAACAATGATATTAGAGATAAATTTGTCACAGATAATATTTAACAATAGCTATGAAACCACTTAATTTATTATTCTCTCTTACTCTCACATTTATACATAATTTAGTTATTCATTCACAAAAACACACCCACCCATCCACCCATTTTACAACAACACATGCACCAAAAAAAAAAAAAAAAAAAACAAGGAATAAGAAGAGAAGAAGAAAAACAGGATAAAAGGTAGTTTTGGTCCTTAAAGTATGCGATATTTTTATTTTAGTCTTTTAAATTTCAATTTTATCATTTTAGTCTTCAAAAATTGTCAATTTGGTTCTAGGCCTAACTCCGTCTACGTTGGTAACAGAAATATGAAAAAAAACTGTTTGGTTCCTAAAGTACATATTTCTTGTCATTTTAGTCCCTTAAGTTTTAAAATTTGTCATTTTGATCCTAAAAGTTGTCAATCAGAGTCAATTTGGTCCTAACTCAAATTGACAACTATTGAGGACAAAATGACAAAATATAAATTTGAGGACAAAAGACAAGAAATGTATATTTTGGGGACCAAACTATCTTTTAATCAACATAAAATATTTTTCCATTTAAATGGACATTAGAGATAGACTAAATTGGACTCAAATTGACAATTTTAAAGACCAAAATGACAAAATTGAGACTTAAGGGACTAAAATGACAAAGAATGTATACTTTAAGGACTAAAATTGTTTTTTATCCAAAAAAAAAGAAAAGAGTTAAGGGGTGATAAATTTATTACTGTGAATTATTCACTAATAGATGTATTCTGAGTTTACAAACAACACAGATCTGGTTTAACCAAATCTTTACCAATAGAGAGAGAGAGAGTAGATCTCATAGTAGAGCTTCGAAAACCATGGCAAACATGGTTATGGTACCCAATCGTATATAAGATTGTAGATCAACGTTGTAAATGTGCTAGATCTGAATGATTGCAGTGAAAGATTAACAATGATGGAGGTAGTTGTTGAATGGTGCGGTAGATCGGCGAACAATGAAGTATAGATCAAAATTGGTAGAGTGTAAACGACAATAATGAAATGTACATCGGTGACGGTGGATGTGGTTAGTGAATGGTGGCAGTAGTATGGCGACGGTGGGTGTGTAGATTGGTGACGGTGGAGGTGGTTTGTAAATGGTGGTGGTGCCCAATGAATGGTAGGAACAATGGTAGAGGCCAACGATAGTGGAGTAGCGGTAGTGGCGTGAGACTCTTGGAGAAACATTAAATAGAGAGAGAGGAGGGTTGTTTTTGATTTCACAAAGTAAGTAATAAAGTAAAAATAAATATTTTAAAATTTGTAATACATTTAAAAGATGATAAAATCTAAAGATATTTACCTAACAAGGACCCCTCCATAACTTAACCTATGGATAAATGGTAAGTTTTCATGAAAGAAATTCATTATAAGTTTCATGAAAAAAATATTATGAAAAGTGTTATGAAGATTTTCCATCTTTAAATATGTCATTGCATAACATACACTAATACATCACAAATTAATTTAAGAGTAGATAATTTTTATGAAACTTTTCTTGTGTTCTTTTATTTATAGACCTAGCATTACACTTAACATTATATTTTATCAATTGAAAAAAGCCCACTTATCATTGTTATAAAACTAATTGAGCTACGGAGGCTATCAAACGACAAAGGTGTAATTGATTGCAATATTTTGAGTTTTCTTGGAGATGCTAAAGTGAGACCAAATTCATGGAAAAGAGCATTTGGTAGGGGAAAGACTATAGTATACACTTTTAAAAAGTTTGTACTATATGAATTTATAATTATAGAAAAAAATATGACATATATTTTTTATACTTTCTGAGTTATAATGAAAAGAAAAAAAAAAAAAAAAGTCATAACAAACACAAAAAAGTTATAACTAAATATCTTCAAAATAATATCATAACTAAAGAAGAAAATTTGTCCTAATTAAAGAAGAAAAGATGTAATTAAGGGTGCATATGCTATGGAGGTGTGCTATAAAGAATTCTCCTAAAGATATATACATTAGTAATGGGAGCCCCTACAGTTGATATGTGGTTGACAAAGAAAATGTAAAAATAATATAGTACAAAATGTATAGTGTCCGACGACCAACCGGATGTTTTTCAGAAGTCCAGGAAGGAGAGCCCCCAATTTTTTTCCTGGTGTTGGTATTCTTATAGCATTAAAAATCACCCAAGAAAATACAAGAATTTTGGAATTGCTACGGTGACGATGTTAAACATTGTATCAAAAAATACTTCCTCGAAAGTGTTGCTTATTTGCAGCCATAGACAAAAATAGCAAAAAAATATTCATTGTTAGCCAAATCAAGGATTTTTACACCAAAATATGCTGATTTGACATGCGAAATCAGTGAAGATCACAAAAAAATCTCTCTC